TCAACATGACTCGAACTTAAATTGCCAAATTGTTAAATCGCTATTTATTAAAAGATATAACAATCAACATAGCTCAAAACGGCGATATATGTAACTTACATTACAAATTTTATTTTATAAAAGTAATTTATTCCTATAATGGAAAAGCTGCATTTTTAGCATTTTTATATGTTGATTTCATGCTCAAGAAACATTTCTTATTATCATCAATGTTGAAAACAATTGTTGCTTAAATATGTTTTTGTGTAAACCATGATACATTTTTTTCAGTATTGTTTGATAAATAGAAAGTTCAAAAGAATAGCACTCTTTTGTAAATATAATAGAAATCTTTTGTTAATTATATTTATAAACATATTTATCTATTTATGTTTGTGGAATGACTTTAAATTATTAGGCCATTTCAAAAAATTTCTGACACCTCATAAATTGATAGCATGAAACACTCTGCAGATTGAAGTGCCTTGTTTTCCATTTCTGTATCTGGGCTGCGAAAAACAGATGGAAATGCCAGCATTTCTGCTCATCTTAGGCAACTCATTAATTCTTTTCAAGAACTTTACCACAAGAATGCAGAGTAGCACGTTTGTATCTCTTTCATGTCATGTCATGTGTTCATCTCCACTTCCAGACCCCTAAGTAGGGTGCCTTCAGGCTGTACTGGTGGTCTTGAGTGACACTGGCAGTTTAGCTAACAAGGGTTGCTTGTTTTCACATCTGGAATTGGGTCTCTATCCAGCTAAGTGTGTTACACAACCTATTTTGTTCCAACATTACTGCAAAGTGCACACACAAGTATCTCCTGTAGTGTTGGGCGATATGGTCATTTTTCAAATCGTCATATCACCAGTCCGTGAGATCGCCGATAGACGATATTATCGTGCATGGGTGGGTGGGGGCAAGAGAGAGACTCTCTAGGCTACTTGTCATAGGCTATTTCATAACTATTTGGTGTTTTAAACTGCGCGCGAGAGAGAGGGAGCCTATGGAAGCACCATGTTAAATACAAAAATATTTAAAACAGCTAGTTCATATATATTCGGAGTCGGATACAACAGTCATACATGGCTATTAGAACCGCACGTCCTGTGACAATTTTGTCACATCTGCGCACGGACATTATCAGTCTTAAAGGTCTGCAAAATCAGTCAACGGTGAAAATCAAAAGTAGATTTATTTTAAAGACCAACAGTTTACCTCTAAATATTGGACATAAACGAACACGTTAAATATAAAGTATTTAAAACAGGTAAGTTCATATATTTGGAGTAAATTTTTATTAAACAGATACTTCAGTCATACAGCGCTCCGGACTGTGCGCCCCATTACGAGCCCGACGCACCGCTACAGAAACAAGAATGAGATGCGTTCTAACATAACTGTGGCATTAAACTCAGTTAGTAAGGGGCTTGGTTAAAATATTGCACATAGGCCGTTCAGATTACTTGTTAAAGTGCAACGAAATACCTTATATCAGCAGACTATATGTGTCTGTGTTTGTGGTTGGAGACTCCTTCACCGGCTACAGGCTCCTCATTGTGTGTGAAATACAGTGCTGAATGAAAAAGCGGGCCAATTTGATAATAATAGCCGAGCGATATGGTCATTTTTCAAATCGTCATATCACCAGTCCGTGAGATCGCCGATAGACGATATTATCGTGCATGGGTGGGTGGGGGCAAGAGAGAGACTCTCTAGGCTACTTGTCATAGGCTATTTCATAACTATTTGGTGTTTTAAACTGCGCGCGAGAGAGAGGGAGCCTATGGAAGCACCATGTTAAATACAAAAATATTTAAAACAGCTAGTTCATATATATTCGGAGTCGGATACAACAGTCATACATGGCTATTAGAACCGCACGTCCAGTGACAATTTTGTCACATCTGCGCACGGACATTATCAGTCTTAAAGGTCTGCAAAATCAGTCAACGGTGAAAATCAAAAGTAGATTTATTTTAAAGACCAACAGTTTACCTCTAAATATTGGACATAAACGAACACGTTAAATATAAAGTATTTAAAACAGGTAAGTTCATATATTTGGAGTAAATTTTTATTAAACAGATACTTCAGTCATACAGCGCTCCGGACTGTGCGCCCCATTACGAGCCCGACGCACCGCTACAGAAACAAGAATGAGATGCGTTCTAACATAACTGTGGCATTAAACTCAGTTAGTAAGGGGCTTGGTTAAAATATTGCACATAGGCCGTTCAGATTACTTGTTAAAGTGCAACGAAATACCTTATATCAGCAGACTATATGTGTCTGTGTTTGTGGTTGGAGACTCCTTCACCGGCTACAGGCTCCTCATTGTGTGTGAAATACAGTGCTGAATGAAAAAGCGGGCCAATTTGATAATAATAGCCGAATTATAATGGGCTGCCTAATAATAATAATAATAATAATTATTATTATTATTATTAATACATTAATAGGAGAATGAGCCTAATATCGTCTTGACTATCGACAAAGACATCTGCTATCGTCGATATCTCTGACTATTGTCGATACACGATACTATCGCCTATCGGCACAACCCTAGTCTCCTGTATGTCAGTTAAAACGCTTGCTTCAGGTCACCATTCTCCATCACAAAAGATAGCCACCCCATAGAGAGAGGCTTAGCATTTGTACTCAGACAAGACTTTTAGTTGTGTCTGAGAGGCCCAGTAGGCATCTGGGGTTAGCATGCTGAAATCAAGCACCATTCGTGATGATAATTGTATAGCTGGAAAGCTGTCCCTGCGTATAAAGTGCAGATTCATCCAGGTATGCATGCCAATCCATTAACATTTTCTCTCTGTTCGTCCTCAGAGATGTTTGATAGGATGTATAAGGGAAAATTGAGCATGCACGGTTCGGTTTCCAGAGATGAATGTAGTTCCACAGTAGAAGAACTTATTAGATTTCATACATTATGCAGGAAGAGGCAATACCGCTGGAAGTGTATCTGTGACAGACGCAGGATAGGGGATGAAAGGGCAGGAAATGAAGATTGTAATGTTTGTTTTCATTGGGAAAGCTGTGGTGTGGGTTTATGTCAGAGAGGATTTCGAAGCACTGTGCGTGAGATGATATCAGCTGGTTTTATGGGCACAGTGTTCCCTGTTATTTGGTATTTAGAGTTTCTAACAACTTATTCTCAAAACATTCTTTATAAACACCCACACAAGAGAGACCACAAACCAAGAACTAAACGCCACAGCTACATTATTTTGACAGTAGCTTACTTCATTTGACGCGTTACATATCAATGGGCGTTTTTATCCACAAGATGTTTTAGGACTCTTTAAGTGGACAACACTGGCTGCGCTGTATGTTTTTGACTAGCTGTGAAACGAACTGGCTCATAAGAGTCATTCATTCAAGAATGAGATTACACGGGTCTCATTGTATGTTTTTTGATTCACTTAAAAGAACTTGCTCATAAGAGTCATTCGTTTGGGAATCAGAATACACTTATCACTGTATGTTTCATGCTGTAGATTCACTAATATTGTGGTGCAGAACTGAACATCTATTATTTTGTAACCGGTTCTGAATAAAATTGAATTTAAAGAGAGAGAAAAAAATCTAAATGATACAGTCTTAAAAAAACATTACAGTTTTAGTTACATGTTTATGTCAACAACCCCTGTGCATATAGTTTGAACATTGATTTTTAAATGCTCTAGACACTAATTGAATAAATCTTAACATCCTATCTGTGCGTCACTAGAGTGCATTGAGGTACAATATTAGCCAAGCTCAGATGCCTGTAATTGCACATAATTTGGAGACACCAGCTGGGTAGAAACACACTCTCTGGCTTTCAGAGGAAATGGAAAGTTTTTTTATTTGTTTTCAAAGACATTCCTTGTCTGTTTGTGTGGCATCTAGGGAATTAATTAACTCCAAATGTAATTGGACATGCTTTTAGTGTCCTTGTGTTCTCTGACTTGCATAACCAAGCTTTGCTGTGCTCAGCCATTATTAGTAAAAGTGTCATAAAACTTGTTTTACTGTTGTCTTGAGGTTGATTCATATCAGTTAGTCCTTTTAATGGCCACTATTCAACCTCAGAACCTGGGCAATTGACAGTCAGTGTGCTTAAAATACCAAAATAAACTGTTCATTTATAAGATAACCCTTCATAGAATTAGACTTTGGGATATTATAATCAATCATGCACATTATTTGTGCTTGAACTGCTACTTGACTTGATACTGTTTAGCCTAGTAAACTTTGACACCTTGTTCTGCTCTTATTTTATTGTGCCTGAATGCCCTGACCAATGAAAAAACTCTTTGTTTGAAGCATACCAAACAGTATTATCAGTTTATAGTCATATGTTTCTGAATCTGAGATAAAGTTAAATCCAAGGCCTTTTAGCTACATCTCAGCATGACTAGATCATGTTGTGTCTGTCTCCAAAACACATAGCTTCAGTTCACCGATCAGCGGGAAGGGAGCAAATTCAGCCTATAAATATAGAAAATACAAATTTGAAAACATGGGGCTTGGGTTTGTTTTCTTTTAAACAGTTGTGATAATAAAATTACTGTTTCTGTCCAAAAAAGGTGGGGACTTGAAGTGTTTGGAGAGCAAACAGCAGTGTGCCCTTTTCTGTATTTTGAGCTTTATTTACAGCATTACAAAGACAAAAAAAAACACAAGAATTTACAGGCCATTCAAAGTCTGTGTTGTCATGCTTGCTCTGAACAGCCCAAACCACAATGTGCATCATGGGAGAGTTGTGGAGCAAGGGGGCGGAGAAGGGTTGTGTGACATTCTTCTTCTTCACAAAAATACTAATTTCCTGTACTAACAATACTAAGAAGTTGATACTAAAATATCACATTTGCAAACACTGTTAAAAAGTTGTGCAATGAGAAGTAAATATTGCAGATATCACGGACTAAATGGTACTTTGTAATGAACTTGGCAGAGTCTGGAGTGCTAAACTCACTTTCCACCCTTTCCTCTTTCTCTATGTCCTTATTTGTCTGGTTTAGGTCAGTCAGGGAAATGTCCCAGGCATTGAGAGTGCATACTTGGCCATGGACACTGAAGAGGGGGTGGAGGTGGTGTGGAACGAAGTGCAGTTTTCAGACAAGAAGGTTTTCAAGTCCTTTGAGGTAGGACCATGCTTGTTTTCCAACATCGATGTTATGGGTGGGATACTCAGTATGCTGCACTACAAACATCTGTGAAATGTTACAGTATTGGCATCATGTCATCATGCTGGAATGGTGGTACGGTGACAGAAACGATGCTTGAAATGTGAAACCAAGAGTGGATGTACTTTGTCTTAATACAGGAGCGGATAAGGGAGATGTTTGAGAACCTGATGCAGGTGGAGCATCCGAACATTGTGAAGTTTCACAAGTACTGGTTGGACATGAGCGAGAGCAGAGCGAGGGTGAGAAGCAACACACACCTGGTAGAAATGAACGCCTCTGTGAACTTTACCCTAAATTCAGACATTCACGTTTTCTTTCATTTCGTGCCACACAGGTGATTTTTATCACTGAATATATGTCATCTGGAAGTCTCAAGCAGTTTTTGAAGAAGACCAAGAAAAACCACAAAACTATGAATGTGAAGGTGAAATGTTTATCAATCATTGAAATTGAAAAACCCGTATGCAGAAAAGTTAGAGAACAATGCCACCTTCTGGCAGAAATATGACAAAATCATAACACACTGGTACTACCTGTATGTCTCAGGCATGGAAGCGTTGGTGCACACAGATACTCTCTGCACTCAGGTAGGACATTGAGGATTTCGTATCATCTGAACTCATCTGAAAATTTGCCGTTAAAGCTGAAATGTGTGCTTAAAATACAAATATTTTCCCAGCTTAATATATAGAGGCAACTATAAGTCAGTAAACACTGTGGCTCAGTGCCGCTGTCAAAACATTACTTTGTTTGTTTGAGCATCTTGACCATCCCAGCATAGCAAGACTGACTCAACCAATGGTGTGAGTTTTGGGGAGGGGCTGTCTGTTTGTTTGGCCAATGACAGACAAGGCGAGTGTTTGTGGAAAAAAACGTTTGAGACATGTTTGCAATTATGTTTTATGACACTAGAAGTTACACATTTCATCTTTACAGCTAGTACTTTTTTTCTCTTATTGTATGGGGAAAAAATTATGATTTTACTAGTTTAAACTTTTTTTCCTTGTATAAATTATTTTATTTTAATACATTAAATGTTTATTTGTGTGGAATTTCTTTTTAACTTTCAGTGTGTTTGAAGGATGTTTTGAGTACAAGTACTGATGTTTTCTCTTTTCTGTCTTTAGTTACTTGCATTCATGTGATCCACCCATTATCCATGGTAACCTGACCTGTGACACAATCTTTATCCAGCACAATGGCCTCATAAAGATCGGCTCAGGTTTGACAGTCTTTTAATCCTTGTGTTTTAGGTTTAACTCAAAACTATTTGATGTTTGATCATTTTTTACATACAATATCTGTTTTTAGAAAAGTTAAATGTCTCTTCTTTCTTTTGCAGTTTGGCACAGGCTGTTTGTTAATGGTAAGTCCATTCTGAGCTCTCTAAGCCATGTGCACAGGAATTTGGTTATCTCGTCATAAAGAAAACACGGACCGTACTTAAGACTTTCTTTTCCTTCCTTCCTTAAACAATGCTTTGCGTATATTGGCCCAAAATCCAGGCAGTAATGTAATGTACTGTAACATTTCTTGTCAGTTTTTACAATCTAAGACATAAATAAAGAAAATAAGGCCCACTTCCCCCTTTAGAGTATTTATCTTGGACACTAGCCCATGTGCTGGAGATCTTGTATGTTTACTGGCTATAATTTTTCCATTCAAATAATGTTATAAATAGAGTTTGAATGTTGTGTGTTTCCCTTAGTGTTTGCTGAGGCGATTCATGGGAATGTGCATCAACATCGAGATGAAGTGCGGAACCAGCATTTCTTTGCTCCAGAGTATGGCAGTGAGTATCTGATGCCTTTACCATATTATCATCTTTCTCAATCTGGAAAAAAAATCAGAAATCTAGAAAATATCTGGAACGTTTTTCATTTAAACCTAAGCATAAAAAGAAAGGTATAGGTTTTTTTTTGGAGCAAAGTAAAGTTGTTTTGCTTATCATTTGTAATATATATGTATAAAAAATGCAAAATAGAAATATGTTATTTTCATGACATTTCTTAATTTTCTTTTTCTGAAGCTGCTGGAGATGACTACGCCATTGATATATTTTCATTTGGCATCTGTGCCTTGGAGGTCTGAAAATAATTTTATCAGTCTAACTAAACTATCAAAAACTGCAAATTATAATCATTCCAAAAGAACAACATTTTAAGTATGACTTTTAATTTTGTTTTCCCCACTCACCTTTAGATGGCAGTACTAGAAATCCAGGCCAATGGAGACACCGCAGTTTCGAAAGAGGCCATTGATCATGCTGGACAATCACTTGAGGACCCTCTCATGAGGGTAAAAGACATTAAGCGTATATTTATAACTAATACAGCTCTGTTACATTTTTTTGCTTTAATCTTAACGCCTTCATCATTCACACTGACAGGAATTTATCCAGTCGTGTGTGCGCACAGAAGCCAAGACGAGACCTACAGCTCATGACCTGCTGTTCCACAGAGTGTTATTTGAGGTCCACTCCTTAAAACTGCTTGCTGCGCACTGCTTTATCAATAACCAGTGTAAGTTGGACATGGAAAACACTGTTCATCCCGTCCTGACTCCTCAGAGTAAAAATGCTTTAATTTTGATCTTAGACATGACAGAAATGTTATGTGTGGCCCATTTAAGCAAAAGGAAATTATTGCTCCTTCGCATTTCCATTTCTCTTTAGTTTTAGGTCTTAAACTTATTTTCATTTTTCCCAGATCTCCTTCCTGAGAATTGTGTGGACGAGAAAACAAAATCTTTTGACCCTAACGGCATCATGGCAGAGATTAATCATTGTGACCGACCTGGAGTCCATCTAAAGTGAGTTTCTCAAACTAAATAGGAAGTTTCTGATCGCTCCCACTTTCCTCTGACGTCCTTCTCATTTTTTTCAAGGTACTCTCACGTTTCTCCTCTGGAGCTGGACAAATTCCTTGAGGATGTGAAGTGAGTCACAGAGAACAACAGCTGATCTTAGATTTAGACTGTTTTTGTGTCCGTGCTCGAGCATTTGAAACCTATCTTCTTCTGCACGAACAGGAACGGCATATATCCGCTCATGAACTTTGCTTCCCAGCGGCCGCATCCTATCCCCCGTGCTCTTTCTTTGTCACAGGAACAGATGGAGACTGTGAAGACCCCAACCCCAGAACCACAGGAGACTGAAACCAGAAAGGTTAGAATAAGATTTATGTTCGAAACAATATTGAGAGTTACTAATCCCAAGTAGTGATGCTATGCCTCAAACAAAGCTTTGGGAAAACTGATTCATGTTTGCCAATCGGCTCGTTCACACAGTTTGTGTAAATAAACAATGCTCAGATTCACAATTCATTTTAAACTCTGCATAGTTGTTTTTGAGCAAAATACTAGTTGTCTAACAAATGTTGGCAGACTGATGGAAAGTGTGTCCAGACCTGATACTGATGATGGGCAAGGGTCAATCTGAAAAAAGCTGACGTCTTGTTTAAATATTTCCCAGAAATGGTGATCAATGTACTGTATCTCATCCATGTACAAGCAGTATTTCACTTACTTTCTTCTTACTTTCTGATAATCCATGACACTCTGTCCTCTTAAAAACCTGTTGTGATTGATTTGTGTAACAGGAAAGAGGCATTAAATAACCAAATCCTTGTGTTTTCATACAGGTTGTCCAGATCCACTGTAATTTGGAAGCGAATGAGGAAGGCACAAGGAGTCATGTGAGTTTAATTTTTTGGCATGTAGTTTTGCTTAGCTTCTTCACCTAAAAATCTGTGGACATTGTGCATCATCTATCCTTTCTTTCTCTGTAGCTCTCTCTCTTTTTAAAAATGGATGACAGGCTTCACCGGCAGCTTAGCTGTGATGTTTTGCCATGTAAGTCCATTTTAAAACATTCAAATGTGTTCTTGTTGCATTTATTTTTTGAGAATAAAAATGAGAGAATATGAGATGTGTAAAAGTAAATTACTTTTTTTTTTTTTTCAGCTGACAGTCCCAAAGATTTAGCTAGTGAGTTGGTTCACCATGCTTTCATCAGTGAGGTAAGCACAAGATCTTCTGACCATCAGGCTTCTTCATGCCGTTTAGTCGCATTTGAGCAGATAAGAGCTAGGCGATAATATAGTTCACATATTGCGACCATATAAACACTCAAACAGTTGAAATTTCTTATATAGTATATACCACTTTATGTGAGTGTACTGTATGTATGTAGGTAAGGTTGGATGTATTATCCAACATTAAAGGGGTCATATGTCGTTGCTAAAAAGAACATTATGTCGTGTATTTGGTGTAATGCAATGTGTTTATGCTGTTTAAGGTTAAAAAAACACATTATTTTCCATATAATGTACATTATTGTTTCTCATCTATGCCCCACCTTTCTGAAAGGCGTCGATTTTTACAAAGCTCATCGTTCTAAAAAAGCGAGGTGTGCTCTGATTGGCCAGCTATCCAGTGTGTTTTGAATGGCTGAATGCCTCAAGCGTGTGATGGAAATGTTACGCCCCTTACCATACTGTGATGCCGTCTCCCAGCAGGACGAGACTCAGTCCAGCTGCTCTGCTCGTGCACATCCCATCATCGATTCTCTTTTAGCAGTTCAGTCAATGTACTGTTAGGAGTAACTGAATAACTCTGGATATTGGTTTATTTCGCGTCAGAGGGAGTGTCAGGCACGTTTATAAACCGAATAACTTAAGTAATTTGTGGATTAGTGCGTACTGGAGATTCAGTTCGATTTGGTTAACTGGTTCGACCGGTTCACTAAGAAGATCCGGTTAAATAGAACGATTCGTTCGCGATCCGGACATCACTTGACGAGACAAAACCAATAAAACCCATTAACTGATTTCTAGTCGTGTTCTCTTTTGGAAGACCAAACAAAGTAGTTTCGCTTTCACAACAAAACACACAGCAACTCCACAACATGGCAGCAGCGGCAACAGCGAGAATAAAAGTTACGTCTTCTTTCTTTGCGTGAACATTTGGGCGGCGTTATGCAAATCTTCCCACATTGTGACATAGATATGTGGGGGCGTGTTAGAACAAGCCGTTTTAGGTAGTTGTGGTTGACTCTTAACTTTTATAAAGAATATCTCTTTGGATTTGAGACTTTAGTCTTTGCAACTTTACAGATCTTCTTTATGCACCAAGAGCTTGTAACACTCCAAAGAGAAAGCAAAAATTTAAATCGCATCATATGACCCCTTTAATATATCTCAAGACAATAATATAGTTTACATTTTGCAATAGTATAAAAAAATCAAACAGTTGATATTTGCTATGTATTATTTTACATGAATATACTGAATGTGAGTAAAGTTGATATAATTATAGTAGTTGTAAGTTGGAGTTATTAATTTGTTATGTGGTGAAAACCACATGAAACCTGTAAGGTTTTGTTCAATTTATAGCAATTATGTGTCGTGACATATCACCCAACCCTAAGCAGTTTAACTGTGGAATTAATAGAAAGTCAATAATAACACATAACACATTGTACATAATACACCTTTATTCCTCTAGTGCAAGCCAAGGAAACTGTGGCAAGGAACGAAAAACTTTGATGTTACCAATTCTTGTTTAGTATTTTCTGTCTTAACCTTCAGATGAGCTGAATAGCTTTGCTTCATGTGTGATTGTGATTATCTTGTTTTTGTGTCATGCAGGAAGACTTCGAGAAGTTGGCATGTTTTCTTGAGGATGCATTATGTAAGCACTGGTCAGGGACGTCCACCTCCCCTACTGCCATGGCTGTGATGTACTAAGCCCAGCTGGTCACATAATAGACAAACAGAGATTGAAGACTGGGCCAGAGCTTGAGAAAAAAAATGGTGGCGAGAGATCCAGAAGAGGGAAATGAGACCAAAAGCGCAACATTACATAATGAAGGTCATGACAAGATGGCTTCAGAATAAGTGATGGCCCTGGGGAGAAAAGCTCGCACCATACCGCATGGTACCTGCACAAACTCCAAAGAGCTCAAACTGTTCATTTTGATCTTGAAGGTCGAATTACTGCTATCATCTCACCATGACGTACATTTCTATCACTTGCAGAGATTCAGCTTCAGTGCCAGCATTTTGGTTGTGATTTTTTTTTAATGCGTTTAAAGGATTTTTAATAACATCCCTCCAAGTCATTGTCCCTATATGGCATAATCCATCCTCATCACGCAAAGGACAAAATCTCAAACAGACCGTTTTGTTCCAGATAAATGTGTTATTTATTATTTGAAACAATTAATACCTGGCCTTGGTATACATGTTTAAAAGTTCAAGCAAGGAAATGCATTAAAATGTCTGATTCTGCATTTCTAAATGATCTTATTCTGTATGCTTTAACAAGCTGACGTTGAGCAAACGAATTTACGGTACTATGACAAAAGTGCTCTTGGCACCTATTATACTAATATATTTCAATTTCATTTTTTTCAGACCTTAAACGTCATTTCTTGCTCTTAATCTTGAATTTGTAATCTTAATCTTTGAATTTTACAGTTTAAGATGTCTTTTTTTTTATTATTGAACTATGTAGATCTCAATTGCTTTTTTCATGCAGATGGTAACTTCGCAGATGTTTGTAAACAGTGGCAATAGCGGTAGTCTTAAGTAGTACGTTACCATTCAAAAATTTTAGGTCAGTATGATTTTGGGGGATTTTTTAAAAGAAATTAATACTTTTATCCAGCAAGGGCACATTAAATTTATTAAAAGTGACAGTAAAACTTTTTTTGAATAAATGCTGCTCTTGTAAACTTTCTATTAATCCTAGAAATTTGAAGAAAATGTATCATGGTTTTCACAAAAAATATTAAGCAGCACAACTTTTTTTTAAAACAATATTACTGTTTTACTGTATTTTTGATCAAATTTAATGCAACTTAAGAGACTTCTTTCAAAAAGATCTTTCTGACCCCGAGTGTACAATATATTCTATCTGATCATTTCTCAATTTTAAGCAATAAAGCAGAAGAGTGCTTCATCCAGATGTCTTTTACCAAGAAAAAGGCTGAACTAAAATCTATAAATTTAAGTAAGACATTTGTTTTTATTCATTTAACAGACATTTGTAACCAAAGCAACTGATACAAACAAACAATCATAAGAGCATTTTGAGCAGCTAATGACACGGGGGTGCTGTTCATGAGTCTAGCAATGTTGACATGGGATTTTTTTATTTGCCTTCTTAATGTGAATATGACCTGATCCTAGATCAGCTGACTGCTCAGAGGTGTTTAACATATATGGGCCCAGTTTACTTTTAATTATTTCTATGTACCTTACACTAATTAATGCATAGCGATAGCATTCAATGAACTGACTGTTGACTGAATCAGAAGAAACAATGGTTTACTTTAACAAATCCCTCCATTGGGTATGAAGGGCTTTTATTCTATTTGGTATTTACATATTACCACAGTATGTGTATATTTTATGTCATGTAAAATGATTCATACTTCTTTGTATGTATTCTATATGGGAGAACTTGAACCATGTCAAGGCCAAAGATGTCCTGGGTGCAATGCTGGCAAGATATAAATATAATGTCCTGTATTTGACTGATACTTGCATATTTACAATAGTATTCATTCTGTGAAAACATCTATGTTGCCATGCCGTCCAAAGCAATAGTATCTGTTGGGATGCTTTCAGTACTGTATTCTCCAATGGTTTTGACTTCCCAATATTACTTAAAAATAAGTGCATGTCAGGAAAGGAATGCTTTTACAGAATTGTTCATTTTTGTTATATTGGCATGGTTGTACAATAGATGTATTGCAGCTTCAGAAAACTATTACAAGGGATTTGTAATCTCCATTTATTCTTGCAAATTCAAATAATTCAGATGTAAAGGGAAAAAGTCACCATCCTCCCAGTGTTATTATGAGACTCCAATGTCTTGCAATGTAATAAATTTGTACGTAGATACAAGAGATATGAATGTACAGTGAGTAACTGTTTAGAAATGCTCTTCCTAATTCCTTTCTCATCTTAATCAAATGCATTAACCAGACTTTTGCTTTGGGCAGTTTTGAATTTTTTGAAAATTATTATTTGTGTTGAAATTGTATACTGTGACATGAAATACTATAACATCAAAATATAAAATTAACACTTTAATATGGCTGAATTTATTTATTTTGTGTAAAAGCTCTATTGTAATTAATGTAGATTTCAAATTAAATATGTAGTGTGCTCAGTCAGGTACAGGGACAATTCTTCTTGTTAGTTTTATGGCGGATTGCAACCATGACTTATCAAGTGCATACCGCCCCCTACTGTATCGGAGTATGCAGCATGGATCATATCTCAATGAATGCACTTTATAAAAAAATTAATAATAATAATAAATAAATATTATAGTGCTACTATCTAAATCTTATAATATACCCCTGTATCCTTCAGATATTCCACAACAGCATCCTGTGCATCTTTAACCCCTTCTCCTGTTGTTCCCAAAACACCCTCAAGGTTCCATTTTCTTCCTGCCTGACTTATCTTTTGGTTTAATCTAATCCTCTCTTCCCTATACTTCCTACAATGTAACAATATATGTTCTGCATTTTCTGTGATTTTACATTCCATACATTCATCTGATTTACTTTGACCTAACAAAAACAATGTTTTATTTAACCCTGTGTGGTCAAACCTCAGCCTGGTTAGAACTGACTCCTCCCTTCTATTCCTTCCATTCACACCCTGTGCACTGATAAATTTCTGTATACTATAATATATCCTTCCACTATTATCCATGTCCCATCTGTCCTGCCATTTCTTCATCATTTCATTTTTAATTATTGCCTTAGCTTCTCCTTTACCAAAGGGAATATTTATAATATCGCTCGCCCTGGTTGATTTCTTTGCTATTTTGTCTGCTTTCTCATTCCCTTTTATATTTACATGAGCAGGTACCCAGCAGAATCTCACATC